GTACAAATGTTCCAATTTGTTCACATCTATTCTCTTTTATAAGGAGTCACTTAGATTGGAATTAGGACCCTATGATATTCTAGTATGACTACATGTTAACTGATAATATCTTCAAAGACCCTGTTTCGAAAGAAGATTCTTATGGTTGCTGCTACGTTTGAGCCCATTATTGGAGCCACTGTGCCAATCCATCTTGTTGGATTAGTCTTCCTCTTTTTTGCTGGCCCTCTACTTTACTAAGCATGATGTCCTTCTTTAGGGACTGTTCCTTCCTGATAACAGGTCCAGAGTACTTAAGATGAAGTCTCATTTCTAAGGAACATTCTGGCTCCACTTCTTCCAAGGTAGATTTGTTATTCTTTTGCCAGTCCATGGTATATTCAGTATTTTTCACTCCTACCATAGTTGTAATGCATCAGTTCTTGTTTGGTCTTCCTTATTCCTTGTCTCAGTTTCATATGCATATGAGGTGATTGAAAATACCATGGATGGGTTGGGCACACCTTAGTCCTCAAATTGACATCTTTGCTTTTTTAACACTTAGAGGCTTTCAATCAGTTTGATCCAGTACAGTTATGGCTAAGAAAGGAAAATTGGGACAGACCCCCAGGTCTTTAAAATTTGAGTGAAATAGAACAATTTGTGGAGTGTAAAAATTACTGTTAGAAGACACAGAAGAGGTAGAGTGTGAAACCTTTCAACTTCAGTCTTTTCTCCATTTATCATAATGTTGCTTATTGGTCTCGTTATGAGGGCCAGGACAGGCATCTCAGGGCTGCACTTCCAAGCTCACTTATGTGGTGGATGACAGCTAGTGATTGGGCTGGTGTCAGTACTTTGGAAAGTGACACACTTTCAAAGTGGTGCAGTTGGCCACCATCTTTAATGAGGCACCATCGTTTCTGACTGTGTCCTTCAAGAGATTTGGTTGCCATGCAACATGCATACTACCCTTCTATTCTGAGAGGGAGATTAAATTTCTAGCGGAACGTGAACTTGTACTTTTCCCTATTCTAATCATTTCCCTTGTTCACCCACATTTTATAAATTCAGATCTGTTCTGGTTTTGTTCCATTAGAAATGACTGAACTGGAGAGAACCAGTTCAAAGCCCTGCTTTAAAGAGGTCTTTTCCAGCAGCTCTGTCCAATGCAATACATCTGTTTGATTTCTTGACTGCTGCTTCCACGAATGTTGGTTGTGTGTCCAAATAAAAGGAAATCCTTGACAACTTCAATCTTTTCTCCATTTATCATGATGTTGTTTATTGGTCCAGCTGTGAGGGCCAGGGCAGGCATCTCAGGGCTGCATTTCTAAGCTCGCTTATGTGGTTGATGACAGGCCTCAGTTCCTACCTGGGTGGAATCCTCTATTCATTGTCATGTGAGTCTGTCCATACACTATGTGAGTGTTCTCGCCGTATTATAGCAGGCTTCCTTCAGTGCAAGTGAGCCAAGAAAGAGATGCTCTAAGATGAAAGAGTCTTTTTATAATCTAATCTATTCTCATCTCTGCAGTGACACTCCTGTCATAGTCTCTGTGTTGGAAGTGAGGTACTAAAACTCCAGTGTGCCCTCAGAGGGAGGGGAATTAAATTCCATCTCTTGAAGCAGGAATATGTAAAAGAATTTGTGGATGGTTTTATACTTACAACCAAACCAAACCAAAACTTTCCTATAAGTTTGGTGGTGTTTTGGAAGGAAGAGCAGTCATAGTAGGTCATTATTCTATAGTTGAATATACCACAGTTTGACAAATCATGTGTAGTTGTAAATTTGGAAAGTTTTGCTTTTATAACTGTGCTGTGATAAAATTCTTCTGGATAAACATTTCTTCATGTGAGTAATTATTCATCTGATAATTCATTATAATGCTTTATTGATGTATTATTCTGTATGCTCCAGAATAAATTTGTGGGAAGACAAACACACACACACACTCACTCACACTCTCTCTCTCTCTCTCTCACACACACACACACACATATTCTCACTATTTCTTAAGTAAAAATCAGTGGACTTATTATTGTAGCATTTTTAATTGCGATAGTTTTTGAAGGAGCGTGTTCTGAAGTAGTATATAGCTTAATGATTTATTAAACAGTTTTATCACAGAAAAGTTTTCCCAATCACTTGATTTCATTTTGGTATTTTATGACTTCGCTAGATGGCAGCAGAGGACCAGGTTTAATTCCAACTGCCTCTGTGAAGTAGTGGAATTCTTGTGCTACCCAGTGCCTGCTACATCTACTAAATCCCCAAATATTAGTTTCGGATTATTAAGATTTTAGTAAGAGCTAGTGGGATCTTGTATACAACAGCGTTAAAAGCATAGCAGTTTTGATAATGTTGACATGTTCTTTCATGCCTTGAATTATTATTTTGTAGAAGATCTTGTAGTGTCATTTTGGAATTATTTTTGTAAAAACAATTTAGTTACATTAAAGCCCATAACCCAAGGAGGGGTCGCTATGAGTCGGGGCCGACTCGACGGCACATAACAACAACAACAAAGCCCATAACAGGGTTTTGTCTGATTCAGGAATCCAAGATATTGTTATGTTAGAATTTCAGACAGTGAAAGAAAGTGAAGATTCTCTTTTATTATTGGAAGTTTTTTTTTTTTTTTTTTTTGTTCGCAGTTGTTTGCGCTGAGAGCACAGGCATCAAAATAGGAAAACTTGATGTTGGAGTGTAGCTTTTCTGTTTTGGATAGTGAAATTTATGTTGATAGAAAAAAAAGTTATTTGTTTGTGGTGTATGAATGATAGTGATTTTTATGTATGTGTTTCTTTTACCTATTTTGGGAAAGAACTACCTATAAACTATATGTATATTTTTATCATGTATGTTTGACAGTAATTTAGATTCCAAAGACATTAGTATCTGTGAACTAGGTAAATTGAAAACGAGTAACTCTGACTACTCTTTTTTAAATTGTAAATTTTGGTTTGATGATTTCAATAGGCAGCCCATCTTAGTACTACACATTTCTGGCTTTTACGCCAACTCTAATGCTGCTGCTGCTATTTTTGCTGGCAGGTGAGCTTCGTTGGACAAATTTTGTTTTACTAACATTTGGTGTTTAGAAAACTTAATATTTTAAATAACTGTACATGGAGAGAGAACTAAATTTTCTCTCCTCATGAATTAGAGTTACGTTTTAAGCCTTTTATGTGTTATGTTAACCTAATGAAATGTAAGCTACTGCCTAAAGTTACAGAATGCAGTATATAATTAGGACAGATAAAATTGCTGGTTAAGTTATAAACTTTAAGCAACTGCACATTGAGACTACTCTGTAATTCGGCCTTAGTAGTTGCCTTAATATTATGGGTCCATTTCATAATTTTTTTTTTGTGGTCTGAATAGTATTTAGCTACTTGTATTTAGTATTTTTCTGTTGAAGTTAGTGTACCTAGACTTTCTCCTGGTAATTTTTATGCAAACATGAAGAAAGACTAATAGAAACCATTTAATTCCTAACAGTATAATCCATTGAGCGTTAATTACTAGTAAATGTTGTTGTTAGGTGCTGTGGAGTTGGTTTTAGCTTATAACAACTCTGTAACTATAACAAAAAAACACTGCTGGATCCTGTAACATATTTACAATCATTGCTATGTTTGAGCACATTGTTGCAGCCACTGTATCAGTCCATCTTGTTGAGAGTCTTCCTCTTTATCACTGACCCTATACTTCACCAAGTATAATGTCCTTTTCCAGGCACTGGCCTCTCCTGACGTGTCCAAAGTACATGAGATGAAGTATTGCCGCCCTCGCTTCTAAGGAGCATTCTGGCTGTACTTTTTCCAAGACACATTTTTTGTTGTTCTACCAGTCCACATTATTCTAGCACCATAATTGAAATAAATCAATTCTTCTTTGGTCTTCTTTATTCATTGTCCAGATTTCACATGCATGTGAAGTGATTGAAAGTGGCTTGGATCAGACCCACCTTAGTCCTCGAGGTGACATTTTTGCTTTCTTAACACTTTAAGGATGTTCTTTTGCAGCAGATTTTCCCAGTGTAACAAATCATTTGATTTCTTCGCTGTTGCTTCCATGAGCATTGATTATGGATCCAAGTAAAATTAAATCCTTGACAACTTAAGTATTTTCTACATTTATCACGCTGTTACTTACTGGTCCTGTTGTGATGATTTTTATTTTATTTCTCTTGAGGAATAATTCATACTGAAGGTGGTAGTCTTTGATCTTCATCAGTAAGCTCTTTTCACTTTCAGCAAGCCAAGTTGTGTCATCTGCATATTGCAGGTTGTTAATGAATCTTCCTCCAATCCTGATGCACTGTTCTCCTTTACAGAGTCCAGGTTTTAGGATTATTTGCTCAACATAGAGATTGAATAAGTGTGATGAAAGGCTACAACTGTGATGCACACTGTGATAGTTAAGGTTGTGTGCCAGCTTGGACATGCCATGATTCTTAGTGGTTTAGAAGTTATGATGCAGTAACCTCCCATGATGAGAATTGATATAATATAATCACCTCCATGATGAGATGTGCTATGAGCAGCCGATCAGTTGAAAGAGAGTTTTTTCAGGGGTATGGCCTGCTTCCAATATATATGTGGACATCCTGGGAAAATCCTCTGACTTTCTGCTGGATCTTGATCTAGCTTATTATCTCCAGTTCCTGGCCTGCCATATTGCTTGCTGATCTTGGGATCCTTCCCTTTGCAGCTGGTGAGATAACAATCTGCCATTTTACTTGCTGATCTTGGATTCCCCATCCTCCAGGGAGCAGCCTGCTATACTGCCTGCCAATCTTGACTTTGTCAGCCCCTGCAGCTGCATCAATCAGGAGAAGCCTCTTGTTTGATATTTGACCCAGGAACTTGGGACTTGGGACTTGTCAGCTTGTACAATTGTGTGAGCCATTTCCTTGACATAAATTTCTCTCTCCATAAGCTTCACTGGTTTTGTTTCTCTAGAGAACCTAGCCTAAGACACACATATTTCCTGATTTTATACCACTCAGTATTCTCTTGTTCCATTTGAACAACTGCCTCTTGGTCTATATATAAGTGTCTTATGACCAAAATTAAATTAAGTATTCTGGAATTTCCAATTTTTGCAGTGTTATCCATAATTTGTTATGATCCTCATAGTCAGTGCCATTTTACAGTCAATAAAACACAGGTAAACAAACATCTTTCTGGTATTCTCTGGTTCACTCAAGTTCCATCTGACATCAGAAATGATGTCCCTCATTCCTCGCCCTCTTCTGAATCCATCTTGAGTTTCTGACAGTTCTATGTTGATGCACTGCTGCAACTGTTTTTGAATTATCTTCAGCATAATTTTACTTGCATGTGCTATTAATGATATTGTTCAATAATTTCTGCATTCTGTTGCATCATCTTCTTTGGAATAGGCACAAATATGGATTTCTTCTAGTCAGTTGATCAGGTAGCTATCTTCCAAATTTCTTGGCATGGATGATTGAATGCTTCTGGTGCTGCATCCTTTTGTTGAAACATATCAATTGGTACTTCATCACTTCTTGCAGGCTTGTTTTTTGCCTGTACTGAAGCTTCCGTACAGCTTCAACTTCTTCCTTTTATATACCATTGATTCTTGATCATACGCTACCTTCTGAAATGGTAGCATCAACCATTTCTTTTTGATACAGTGACTATCCATCTTACTTTGATGCTTCCAGTGTTGTTCAGTATTTTGCCCATAGAATCCTTCAGTATTGCAACTTTTTTTCTAGTAAGTGAAGACATACAAACTCATTTTAAAACATTTGATATATTTAGATATAATTTTATTTGGTTATATTTTCCCTGTGTGCATGGAGAAGTATTAAAATCAAGCATCATTGTGCTGTGCATTTTGCACATGTGTTTTTAATTATCCTTCTTAAAAAATACCTTAATTGTGCTATTAGCCTATTTCTATTTAAAATAAATAATTTAGGGTCTTTCCAGTAAAATATTTATGGTAATGTATAACATCTGTGTTAAAAGTAAAATTATTTCAAGTTTCTTAAAGATTAGGCCTTTCTCTTCCTTTCATTAAAGTAATTTTTTAAAATATTCATTGCTGTGGTGGAAACAACATGAGAATATCAAAAGATCTTGTTTATTTAAAAGGAAATTTCTAATTTATGCTAGAAGCATTAAATGGTAGCTGTTCTGATCATGTACTTGGAACTATCAAATAAAATATTTTGATGGACGGTCAGTTTTAATGGTGATAGAAGTTTAAGAGGAACATGAGTTTGTGCATATTTAAAAAAAATGAAATTTAGTACATGGTTCATGTCTTTAAATGGGTCCAAATATAATTGTGTCAAAATAGGAATATGTGAGAGAACAGTATGAAGTATAATTGAGTATAAATGACTGACACAAACTCTAAGAATGTAGGGATACCTAGGAGGAGAAAGATTAGTGAAGGATGAGTTAGAGGAGCAACATGAGGGAAGTCATGAAGTAGAAACACCAGCCTGAGGTGGACTTACCTAATCATTGGTTATAAATATAGAATCTATATAAGCTCTGGTGGCACAGTGCCTGAGGCATCTGACTGCTTACCAGGAGGTTGGTGGTTCAAACCCACCAGCCACTCTGTGGAAGAAAGACTGGACAATCTACTTACGTACAGATTTAGCTTTGGAAATCCAGTGGGAGTCTCTATGAGTCAGAATCAACTCAATGGCGGTGGGTTTGTTTTGGGGTTTTATTGAGTTCTAGCCACTGGGCAGTTCTGTGCTTAGGCTAAAGGAAGAAAATTGTGATACTGGTGACTTTTTGAACCCTTCCTTTTTATTTTGAAACTTGTCAGAGTTTTAGTGATTACTGAACCATGAGTCTCTGATTTAAATTTTGACCATTATCTCAACTCCCACTTCTTGAATTATTCTTAGATAGTAAGGTTAAAAAAAAAAAAAAAAAAAGCTTTATCTCAATTCTCTGGAAGTTTAGGGCCACCTGGAATAGCTGAGTCGGGTGGTTAGCATAGTGACCTTTTGAAACACTTAAAAAAGCTGTTTTTTGAAATATGGAGTATGGTAAAGTATTTTCCATAATGGTACAAAAAGCATAGGTGCTATGGCAGAGGGAAAGGGAGAATTTCACCTGTTCCTGTGACTTGAGCAAGAAAGAAAGGATGGTGTCACAGAAGCCAGCCTTGCTGAGACATCCCAAGGGGTTATTCTCATGGGTGCACATGGGACCCCTATAATGATTTGTTCCCAGTCATCCCTCCCAACGCTTTGTTTTCCATTTTCAGTTACAATTCAGAGTCTGTTAAGTGAACCGTTTTGCTATTTACTAAATTGTTTCATTTTCACAACAGTGAAAGCTTTATTGAAAGTAGATTACGTTAGCATTCATTCAGTCTCGCCAACAGCAAGTTTCAAACGTTGTGAAATATAAAATGTGAAAATTAAGTCTGATTCAGACTAGCTGGTGATCTTGCTTAGTTTTCTTTTTCTTCTCTTTTCATTCCTCTTTGTTTCATTTATCCTAGTTAGGATCAAAATGAGAAAATTTCTATAGCTAAGAATAGAAGAAAATAAATACAACTTCTGGGCAGGTTCTTCAGTGGAAGCTCCTTTTTTTCACATATTTAATTAATTTTACTTATTTTGACTTCTGTTGCTTAGCTTTCTTATTTTCTTTAGGAATTTGAGTGCTAAAGGTGGTTTAAAAACAAAAACAAAAACAAAAAAAACAAAGACCAAACTAGTTTACAATTCATGTTGATTACAATTCATGGCAACCTCATATATTTCAGAGTAGAACTGTACTCCATAGGGTTTCCAATGGCTGTGATCTTTTGGAAGTAGAACACTGGGTCACAAGATGCCTTTGGGTGGTTTAGAACTGCCAATCTTTTGGTTAGAATTGTGCTTCATAGAATTTAATGTGCATACTAATCACCTGGGAATCTTGCTAAAATCCAAATTCTGATCCAGTAGGTCTGTGGTAGGGCCCAATCGGAGATTCTCTATTTTTAACAAGTTCCCAGGTGGTACCAAGTATACACTCACACTGACACCCATCTCATTTGGGGAGGTACGTGAGAGCCCTTCTAGCACTTTAAGATTCCACAGTTCTCTAATTCTTTGTAGATGGGGGTGAAGAAGGAGGGAGCATGCTCTAACCCACCAGACCAAAACCAAATTCACTGCCGTTGAGTCACTTCTAATCACAGTGACCCCTCCTTGGGTTTCTGAGGTATTACCACTATGGAGGTGGATTGCCCAATCTTCCTTTCAAGGTGGGTTTGAACCACTAGCCTTCTGGTTAGCAGTCAAATGCCCTTAGGCACCAGGCCACCAGAGCTACTAGATGTGGCTTAGCAAGATACATGTTGCTGTTAGCAAATGCATTGTGCCCTGATTTGACAGTTCCTTTTGCTAGTTGAAAGGTTTGCTTTGATATTCTAATTGTTACACTACCCTGAACTCTGTTAATTAGTTGATTTTATAAACTTGTAGGTAAGAGAGGGACTTTATTAGTCAACTCTTACTGCTATGATAATAATTATGCCTTTTTAAATTTTTGGCGGGGTAAGGGGAGCATGCTCATGTAGATTGAGTAATTATGTTATTTAATTTTTGTTGTTAACTAATTTTTATTTTAATGAGATAGGTTGTGGGACAAAAACATGGTGATTTTCCTTTATGTGCAGTAGCTTTTGGATTTATTGTATGTTTATATGCACGATTATTGTTAGTAAATATTAAGGCACTGTTTTAATACATTAGAATATTTTAGGCTCTGAGTTTGTTTTTAGCATGTTTAATGTTTAGAAAACCAGTTCCTAGGCAGATTGAGTGATCCACCTGATTCAAGTTCTTTTATTTTTTTGACTGAAGGAGGGAGCCTTCTGATTTTACAAAATTTTCTTTGTTTTTACCTATTTATGGAAAAATGAATCAAGCAACTATTTAGTTGTTGCCTGCTTTTGATTGTGTAAATATGCTTATAAGCTTGGGTTTGTGGGATATGGGTAATTTTTACAGGTAAGTGCCTATGTTTTATTTCTCTGTGCTGCCAAATTTCAGTGTTCAGTCATCTCTTCTTTTGTGTTCAGAAGGGATCTACTCTTCTTTCCTGCCTCCTGGGTTCTTAATCCTTTCTGTTTTATGCAAGGTTTTGTTTTTATCAGTAACTGAAACACGTTTTCTGGGATATGTAAAGCAGTAGTAGTAATAATAATGATAATCAGTTATAATTTAATATTTATTGTGTATATTGAGTACATATAATAATAACTGACATTTTATTACCACATACTAGACACTGTTCTAAGTACTCTTCATGTATGTATGTATGCATACACACACACCACACTGAATATTGTATTTTAGATGAAACTTTAGACTGAAAATTAGGTTCCCATTCTACAATTCTTACATAAATTGTTCTGTGACATTGGTTATTATCCCTCTAATGTGTCAGCATTCACCATTTCTACCACACCTGTCCCATTTCTGTCCATCTAGGTTTCCCTGCCTCTCTTTGTCTTCTCATTTTTGCTTTCGTGTAATTGTTGACTGTTTGGTCCTGTATGGTTGATTGTTTGAAGGAGCACATTCCTCAGGGGCGTACTAACACAAATAAACCTATGTACATGCATTTTATTTTATAGACATATGTGTTATTTGGCTGAAAAGTAACCTCCAGGAGTGGTTTCACTTCCAGATTAAAAGGGTACCTTAAGACAGTAGTCTCAGGGGTTCCCCTAGTCTCTGCTAGTCCAATAAGTCTGGTCTTTTTTTATGAATTCGAATTTTGTTCCACATTTTTCTTCCATTCTAAATGGGACTTCCTATTGTGTCCCTGGTTACAACGGTAGGTAGTGGTAGCCAGGCACTATCTTGTTCTTCTGGTCTCAGGTTAGAGGAGGCTGTGGTTTGCATGAGCCATCAGTCCTGTGGACTGATTTCTTCCATGATTCTCTGGTTTCCTTCAGAAACCTTGTCCAGACAGGAAAAAACTTATATTTGTATCTTAGATGGCCATTTGCAAGCTTTTAAGACTTAAGATGCTACTCACCAAAGTAGATGTAGAACATTAGGAACTATATTACGATAGTTGAGCTAGTTGTCCCACAAGATTATGGTTCTAAGCCTTCAAACCCAATAAATCAATTCCTTGAGGTATTTGAGTATGTCTAGGAGGTATCCCAGGAGTCCCAGGAGCTCTGGTGGTATAGTGGTTAAAGCATTTGGTTGCTAACTAAAAGACTGGCAATTTGAATCCACCAGCTACTCTGAGGAAGAAAGATGAGGCAGTCTACTTCCATAAAGATTTATAGCCTTGAAACCTTATGAGACATATCTGTCCTAAAGGGTTGCTGTGAGTCAGTACTGATTCTCTGGCAGTGGGTATAGTTTTTGGTGTTAGGAAGTATCCATAATGGTGCCCCCAATGTGCTTTATTGTATATATGAATATGTATGTAGCACACATAAACATGTATACACATATGTCCCCAAATACACCTATATATATGCACTGTACTCCTGTATGCCTTTCCACACCTATCCATATCTCTCTGTGTAACTACTCACATATTTTTTGCTTGTTATTATTTATAATTTTATCATTACAAAATTATATATCATCTCTCAATGCTAATGTTTCCCATATTGTGCTAACTTCTCTCATATTGTATATTGCCTTTCCCATCACCAGAATTAATATGTGTCTACTATATGGTAAGTGATTCCCCTTCCCTCCTCTTCTCATCTTTCGTAATCATCAAAGAACATTGCTTTCTGTGTGTATAACTGTTCTTGACTTTTTATAAAATGACATCATACAGTATTTGTCCTTTTGTGTTTAACTTATTTCAGAAAGTATAATGCCCTCCAGATTTATCCATGTTATGTTTCATGAACTCATTATTCTTTATCGTTGTGTAGTATTTCATTATATGCATGTACCACAATTTGTTTATCCATTGGTCTGTTGATGGGCACTTACTTTGTTTCCATCTTTTTGCTATTGTGAGTAATGCTGCAGTGAACATGGGTGTACATAGGTTTATTTGTGTCACTGCTGTTACATCTTTAGGATATGTGCATAGGAATGGGATCATAAGTATTTGTATTTCTATTTCCAGCTTTTTGATCAAGTACTGTACTATTTTCCATAGTGGTTGTACCATTTCACAATTCTACCAGCAGTATATGAGATTTCCAATCTCCCTACAACCTTACGTGCATTTGTTCCTTCAATTTGTTTTTTTGATCAGTGCCATGTTTGCATGGGTGAGATGGTATCTCATTACAGTTTTGATTTGTATCTCTCTAATGGCTAATGATCATGAGCATCTCTTCATGTGTTTTTTAGCCAACAGAATTTCCTCTTGGGTGAAGTGGCTGTTTGTGCCTTTTGCTCATCTTTTGATTGGATTGTTTGTCTTTTGGTTGTTGAGTTTTTGTCGTTTTCCATATATTTTAAAGATTAGACCCTCATCAGATATGTTGTTATCAAATTTTTTTCCCCCAGTTGTAATTTCTCCCTTAATCCTTTGCTAAAGTCTTTTTTTTTTCCTTTTAATTGCGATTTGGGTGAAAGTTTACAGAGCAAATTTACTTTCCATACAGCAGTTCACATACACTTTGTCTCATGACATTGACTACAATTTACCACAATGCAATAGCTTCCCTCTACTTCCTCCCTATAGTTCACCTTTTCCGTGTGTCCTTCCCTCCATGTACTCCTGTCTCCTGAGCTGTCTCCCTGTGCATAAACAGCCTTTCTTTCTCCCATGATTGTTCTCTCCAAGGTAAAAAAGGTCTCTACCTCAGGTAAAAAAGTTCAACTCATATGCCTGTCTGTTGTTTGGGTCGAAGCCACAGGGGTAGGTTCAATTCCAGACCTGAAGGAAAGCTGGGGCCATAGTCTCAGTAGTTCCATCAGGCTCTATCAGACCAGCAAACTGGGTCCCCTATTTTTTTTCCCCAAATGATTTTGAGTTTTGTTCCACATTGTTCTCCATCTCTATCCAGGGTCTTAAGATACTTAGGTAGAAACATTTAAATGTTTGGTAATTGTCCAAAATGTTCAGTCTCTCATTTAATATACTGATGATCTGCCATTTTATATACAATTAACATTCTGATATCAAAGGCCAGTTAGATGAGTTTAACT